GAAGAGGGCTTTGTGAGATAGTTTAATAGTTAAAAATAACAAAATGCAGAATTCATTTCCAATGGAAAAAAAGGTTTCACAAACTGGATTAGATTTTTTTTTTCAAGTTGCTTGGTTTCCTTTCTTGCTCTTGACTGAGCTTTAAGTGATAGCTCTACTAAAGAGTTTTATGTTAACTGGATACACAGTGGCACTTGAAAGAGCTCATATAATCAACTAAGGAATATATCCTATGGCAGACATCATCTATTCATAAAGGATAGGAATATATACTGTTCATATCAACAAGTTCTTGAAGAATGTCAAGTGCACTACAATTGGTCTGGTTCAGTCCTTTTAAACCAACTCTACAAATAACTTTCTAAACTGATGAAAAGTCAGTTAACTCTGTTATGGATATTTTTTAATACAAGAAGCCAGCATACCACATGTGTGGGTTTTACAAACAGCTGGTTTAACCAACAAGCTAGTCTTACATTTTGCAGTATTGAGTACCCAAATATGCACAAAGGAAAATATAGTCCACAAACTGTCCACAGGTTCTATCACAACTGTAAAAGTAAATGTATTTTACAAGAACAGATTATGTCCCTCAGATTTTTCAGCTCTAATCTCCCTCTAGAGACAAACTTTAGCAACTGATCTATGGTTCTCATTCAGGCCAGACTCTGCTTTTTTAGATGCCTGGGCAAAGATCTCTCCAGTGAAGGGCTTCAGTTCTGCAAGGAGAGAAAGTGAGGATGTTTGAAACTTAACCTGTTCATCCTCAGTCCCTGGAGAACCATGAAAACACAACTTCTTTTTAATGAAGGTGAAATCACCTGTGTGCTCATGGAAAGGATGTAGTCTTCCCTCCCCTAGTCACTGTCCTGGTACTAACCCTATCCCATTAGCTCTGCTAAACCTCTCAGTGTGTTGCTGTGGCTTTTTTTTGTGCAGTACCCCCTGTCGGGTTTGCCAGCAGACTCTACCTGATGTCTACTGACTGTCCTACAGACACTCCGTATGTTCCCTCCTACCCGTTTTGGCAGCTAACTCAAAGGTTCTTATGAAAGTTCAGAGCTAAATCCAGCCCCATCCCACACCCAGCAAAAAAGGAAGTAACCAGTCCAGGCAAAAACTACCTTATTTAGTTAATGCTAATTAAACTAAAAGTGATATATAATCCAGGTAGTTTAGACCATGCCATTGCATGAGGATAAACACTTGGAGGCATTAAAGTACGTTGGTAATGTGGCAAGTGATAGTCAGAAGTCATAAAATAGTGACACGTTTCAAAAAGCACTGTAATATGCTTTAAAGCCAATTAAATATGGTAGCTGTGGCTCTCATACTGCATTTACTGAGAAAACCTTCAATTTATTTCCAAGTTAGTATTACTTTTGTAGAGGTTTTAATCACAAAAGCTGATTTGATTGGCAGTGTCCACATTGAATCTTGTTGAATAAACAGTATGGCTCATTTTGCTAATTAATTGGAGAAAGCTGAAGGAAAGATTAAGAAAAAGCAATCAGACTTTTTGATAAGTCTTGGTACAATCTTCAAAGCGTCATTTAACATAAACTGTGTTTCTTTTAGCAACTTGCTCGTTTACTTGTAGCAAATACAATAGTAACGACTGTCAGTTCAATTTTTATACTAATCTGGAATACAAAGTCATTGGGAGAAGTCATGTATGCTCTGCATGATTTGTGAAGGCAGTGAAGAGAATTCTTAAAGCAAAAAAGTAATTTGGCAGAGTGGCTGCTATGAACCCTTCAGTGCATGCTTATTATTGCTGAAACAGTTTTTCAGACCCACAAATTACAAAATGAGGTAAGCATGTTTTCTATAGCTTTATAGAAACTGCTGTAATTCTAGCCACCAAAATTCACATCCACATAAAGTGTTAAAGAGGACATATGAGAAGAAAGCTGAATGACAACTAGTTTATATGCCATTTTATTCCTGGACACCATTTTGCCCACACAACATATGTTTTGCGCTGAATTTAGAGGCGCGCTCGTGTCCATTGTGTTGCATTAGTCTAACACAACAAAATAATTGATCCAGATATCAAATCTATACAGATTGAGAGAAACAAAAGGGAATGGGAAGAAAAGGCAAACCAAGCTTTACTGCTGGCAAGCAAAACAGTAATAGCATACTGGTAGTTTGAGTGGTGTAATCACAAATAGGGTTCATTGGGTGTGCATAAAGGCAGTAAATGCTACAGTATCTGTAGCAGTGTTCTGCAGTGTAAGAACACCTGATGCACACCCGAACAAGTAGTTGGGGAGGAACAATGAAATTCTGTATGTCTCAAACAGAAGATACTCCCACATTATTCTGAGCTCTCATGTTGCAACAGAAAACAGTTGCTTCTGTTTGTTTGGAAGAAAGAATGGGAAGACAGAGCTCCACTGAGACTCAAATTTTTATCTGAGGTGAGGCCCTTGGTACCACATCTGTGATGTACCACAAATCTGATTTCAAAGAGCAGTGCCAGCCAAAAGAAAGAGTAGAGCTACAGTTAAGAGACATCCTTGCTGTGTCTTTTATTACCCCAAAACATTCCCATGTATACTCAGCCACAGGAAGGCTTGAATAAAAATAATTGGCAACTGAGTAGTATGTAAACTATGAATTAAAAATGAACAGTCCCAGTAAATTGGTATAAATAGTTCATTAAAAAAAATCCCAGCAGTGTGTTGTTGCTGATGTCTCAGACCAGCAGCTAAAAGCTAATCTTTCCAGAGACAGCCTGTGGCAGAACTTGGCTACTGGCATAGCATGTTTCAGTCTGAACACCAAGAAGTAAGGGTTCCTACCGTTAGGCCTTAACCTAACTTCATTCAACAACAGTTCAACCTGTTCCTCACTGGAATCCTATTATGCTTTTCCAGTAAGGTACAACTCAGGCTTACTATTTATGGAGCTAGTGACTCTTAAAATATACTCTGAAGTAAGTGGCTATTGCTTTAATCTGTGACCTTAAAATTCAGCAAGAGTTAATGTTATGTCGCTCTTAACGTACTGAGCTGCCCATCAGTCACTGATCTGATCTGGCTGGTGCTGTAGCATTTGCTTATGTTGCTGCTGAGTAGGGTGGCAACATAGCTCAGTGGAGCCATCCACCATGAATTTACCTATACTAAATTGCCTGTCACCCAGTGGCCTCCCACCAATATCCTCAGTGTGGGGCTAATAATTACTTGTTAAAAGCAGAGTAGATTAAACTGAGAGATTAACAGGAATGGTGAGGACAGGGAAAAGGAGTAGATTAATAGCAACAGCAAAAATGGAGCTCTTTCAGCCAGATAAAACTTAACAGTGACCAAAAATGGAAGAACAACAAGTTCCTCTGCAAAGTTGCCTTGCATCAGACATCACAGAACAGCCCAGGGTGTGACCTTCTGCCCAAGATAGGGCATGTCCAAGAGCTCAAAGCCTGCAGGCATACAGGGGAGCACACACTCTTGACTTCACATCTATCATGACACTTCACGGCCCTCTCCTCACAGCCTTGATTTCTGCTTCCTAACAATATCGCTGCCTTCTAGCCCTTTAAAAGTGATTAGAAAAAGGGAAAGCATAAAAGTAATAATCAGTAGCAAACATCAGGAAGCAGACTTGCTCCATTCAGGATGGAGTCATGACCTCTGTAAATGCAAAGCTATCAAACAGAACTTTCTAGATCACTTAGAAACACATCATTAGTCCTTGTCACACTGGGACTTAGCTTATTGTGGAAAAGTCATTAGTTTCTTTTCAGATTCTCTGGAGAATTTCCAAAACCTAGCCCTTGCATTTCCTCAGGTTGTTCGTATGTAATTTTATATTTCAGCCCTTGTTAGCTGGTACAGTACGTGCTGTTCCAAGCTTAAATTCATAATTATAGTAAGCCATCATGGCTTCCACTTGTAAATGGAGTTAGACAATACCAAAATCATACTTACACCAGCCCTTCACTGAGGTTATAAAGTCTTTGGAAGGCATCTTAATTTAGGGAGCTTTTATACACAGCCTGCTCCTAACATGACAATCTAACATCTATGCTATGTGTGAGGCCATTAGGATTTCACTTCAAACATTGCACTGAAAACACCCTCACTTTTCAATGGAGTTCAGTTGGCGGTATTTAGTAGTCTTTTGATAAAGTATACAGTTGTTTTCATCACAGCAGTTTGGGGGCTAACTCTTGAAATGACCTTCAGAAGTATCCATTGTGTATTTTCTTTCCTGAGTAACGTGACTGGAACTGGAGTTCTATAGCATTTATTTGATGCAGTCATACTATAGCTAATTGTTTCATTTTCTTACCTTTCTGCAGGGCCAGGGTGCATACCCCTTGACTCTGTCCTTAGAAACCCTAAGAAACCACAAAGCAAATATTAACTTCACTTAAAAATGACACAAAAAATGACCACTTTCCTTGGTCTACTACTCATCCAGAGGTCTTCCTAATTTTTTCCTAGGAGAACGTTACATTCCCGGGTTGGGTAGCTCTATCTATATTGTGTCAGCCTTACTCCTAAGGTTGCTGTCACGTGGTCCTTTAGGATGCTGTAATTCCCAGCCTTCTTACAAGACCCTCAGTTTTTAGGAATGCTTTTTTGGTCCAGTCCACACCTTTTCCTTTTTTTTTTATTTGTTTTGAAGATAAACATCCTCTTGCAGATGATAAAAAAAGGGCGCTTAATTCTCTTGTGATTTTGGTTCAACTCAATGAAATCAGATTTTAAAAAATAATATTCTGGATGAATCTTGGGTGCAAGAGATTCAGAATGTTCATATCTCTGGGTGACTGGAAATCATTTTCTCTTGGTATTATTGTATGTGCCTGTCTTCTAAAGAATTTAATTATACCAAATGATCTATGAGCCTAGAGTTGTGAAAGCTAGAGAAGTTTGTTCAGTTGTGAAAACTAAAGACAGTTGCTGTGTGGCTTTAGTAGTGGTATGTCTGAGTATAAAATAATGTGCTGCTTTTCTTTCTCTTTTCCCTCTTTCAGCAAAGTTTCTGTTTGAGAAATACGAGTTCACTCAGCAAAACAAAACCAACTTTTAAAGGTTGTTCTCGGAGGAAATCACTCTATGCCCCATTACCTGCTTGAGTGAAACCAGACTAAGAACTTCTGTCATGGCAGCTTTTCTGCTGGGAGCTATGTTGCTTATTGTTCAACCTCAGATAGTGCTTTCCAGACCGGCTATAAATTCGAAGGTTGAGACTTCTTCTCAGTCTGTTCAGAGAGAGCTTTTAAAGAAAACATCTCAAAAAAATGACTTCAAGGAAAACATTCATTCTAATGGATCATGCAGGCAGCTGCCACAGACTATCATTATTGGAGTGAGAAAAGGTGGAACAAGAGCTTTGTTAGAGATGTTGAGCCTCCATCCAGATATTGCGGCAGCAGAAAATGAAGTTCACTTCTTTGACTGGGAAGATCATTACAGAAATGGATTGCAGTGGTATATTAATCAAATGCCATTCTCTTATCCCCATCAGATCACCGTGGAAAAAACTCCAGCATATTTCACATCACCTAAAGTGCCTGAAAGAGTTCATAAAATGAACCAGTCTATGAGACTACTCCTTATTTTAAGAGACCCAAGTGAGAGAGTACTGTCAGATTACACCCAAGTGTTCTATAATCACATGCAGAAGCACAAGCCGTATCCATCCATTGAACAATTCCTGATTAAAGATGGTGAACTCAATGTGGACTACAAGGCAATAAACAGAAGTTTGTACTACATTCACATGCAAAACTGGCTGAAGTATTTTCCTCTTGATCGTATCCACATTGTGGATGGGGATAAACTAATCAAAGATCCCTTCCCAGAAATAGAGAAGGTAGAGAGTTTTTTGAAGTTATCACCACAGATAAATGCTTCAAACTTTTATTTCAATAAAACTAAAGGCTTCTACTGCCTAAGGGACAGTGGTAGAGAACGTTGTTTACATGAGTCGAAAGGACGAGCACACCCACAAGTAGATACCCGCTTACTTGAGAAACTGCATGAGTATTTCCATGAACCCAACAAGAAGTTTTTTGAGCTTGTGGGCAGAACATTTGACTGGCACTCATTTGTGGCAAGTTAAGGGTAAGCTTCAGAACCGGTGTTCCAGTGTACATTTAGAAATTTTAAAAAGGGCATTTAAGCTATAATTTATTTGTAAAATCCATAAATACTTCTGTACAGTATTAGATTCACAATTGCCATATATACTAGTTATATTTTTCTACTTGTTAAATTTGAAAACATTTTGTATTGTTTTTCATGGTTGTTAACATTGTGTGTGATGTGTCTATATGAAGAAACTAAATTATTTCATTGCAGAAGATGCTCTCTTGAGAATGCATTGTCTTTTTAATAAAAAAGAAATTAATTTCAACAGAACCCTTTAGAATTATTTGAATACTTTGGCCTTTCTGGAATATTCTGGACTTTTTCCTCTAATTGCTAATTAATATGATAAACTTTACATTTCCAATTTTCTTGCTTTAAAATGTGGTTTAATTTCTTTTTCACTGGAAAATACTATTGTAGTTAGCAGATTGTTCCATCCTGCTTTATAAAATTATTTCCTGATAAAGTGGTGGTACTTAAACATGTTGGGACATGCACACACAAAGGAGTGGAGGTCTCTGTGTAATATGACATATTAACTGTTGTACTTACCTTCGTATTTACTGTTATTACAAGTGCTCCTCAAATCCTTTGGCAGTACAGTATAGGTTTCATGGCAGATTCTTAAGGGTTCTGTGAGGACTAGCTCATACAATCCAGAGTTTGCAGAAATATGGTCAACCTGAAAACTTCCTACAATCTCTGAATGTATATATACTTCATAAAGAAGGTGGGTTGAGAGAAGAATTTAAGCAATATAGGGACATTTTCAAGGTTTCTTATGACTGTTCCTACATTTTATAGCACATTTATGCTTTGCCATCACTGAAAATGAATGCTTACATCAGAAAATTAGTTGGTCTACATTCCAATAAGCAGCATCTTCATTCATACATATATTACCACACTTGTACACCATTTAAGGCTGTTTTATATGAGCTGAGCAGGTGCTCCATGCAACTGAAAATTGCCCGTGGACTACTGTTCATTTCATCTCCTTCCAAGAACTATGTTGCCAAGTCTTGATTAGACTTGTGTGTTGTGGGATTAACCCCAATTCCAGGAACTGTTTTGGTCTTCCACCTGCTAAAAATGGAAATTGTATGTTAGTACATTGGAATAAATTACAGCTTTCCTTGTCTACAGTAGTTATAATGTCTTGTTAGCCATCAATTTCTGGAGTTGAGAGTTAATCCTGTTTCCACACAAGGCTTACTGTGGTACTTTCATTCTGAGTTCCTGATTTTCACTTTATGATCTTGAGTTTAGCCGTTGCATGTGCAGTGGCAACACCCTGTAAATCTGAACTTGTAACTGATTGTTACAATACTTTATAAAATTTCAGTGTAAATTTTTTTTTTTTTTTTTTTTCTGGTGAGATGGTGCAAACTTGGGCACTATGACAAGGTACTGTTTGGATGCAAATATCCCATATTATGCTGCTTGCATGAGAACTGCAGATACTGTTCCTCTCTCTCCCTGTCCTTGTGCACCTGCCCAAGCTGTATTCAACCTCAGAGAGGTCGGTGGTGTTTTATAAAGTAGACCTTTGATGAAAACCTACAAATAAATGGCATTGTACTCAATAAACTATTTTCTGAATTGCATCTTTCCTTTCTATTTTGTTCATCAGTTTCTAGTTTGGAAGACCAGAATTCAAGTCCAGTTTAGATTCCAGTTAAATGTTACTTAAGTATTTGGCTGTAGCCTAGTGGATTGATTGGAAAGTGGTTGGTTGCTGCTGGGTTGTGCCTGCCTGGTCCATTGCTGATACTGAGTATACAAGAATGTAAATTTTCTGGTGGCAATAATGTCAAATCTTATGTGAGGCAGATGCCCAAAATAACAGGATTATAGTACTATCTTGCTCCTATTAAAGTTTTATAAGAGGAATTCATGGGGTTTTATGTAAGGTTGGACAGTATTTTTTTCTACACGCATTATTACCCTATTTCCTTACTACCACCTTTAGTATTAGCAGTGTTAGGTTAACAGTTGGACGTGATGATATTAAAGGTATTTTCCAACCTAAAAGGTTCAGTGATGATTCTAAACTGATCACTGTGTGGGCCATCTGGACGTAAGAGATTTTGGCCTAGAGAAAAGGCTTCCCACCTTAGTACAGTTCCACCTTCACTAGTGCCCTCCTGCAGTCACAGACTAAGCCCAACAAATTCACCAACTTTTTGCTTGGAAAGGAAAAATATGACCGGGAGCCATAGGAGTACAAGGAGGTGGGGTTGTGTCAAGTTCATTTGCAGCAGGTCACACAGGGCAATATAGGGCATGTGTTGAATGTCAGAGCAATGTTGACATGATGCTGGTACTGAGAATACTTTTAGGTGTAAAATGTTACTTGATACCAGTGTCTTGTCTGTCCCTAAGCAGAACACATGCAAATGTCCCCCCCCCAGCAGCACCCAGTATGGGTTGTCTCTGTGGAAAGAGAGTTAGAGCATGAACCATTGGGTCACTATTACTGTCTTAGTGCTAGGCTCTCATAGCATGTTCTCTGTAGGAGCAGGAGGTGAAGTGACCACTTCATGGGGACATCCTAAAGTGGAAGCTCAAGGCTTCTGCCCTAGACCCAAAGTTCAAAGGGGCCCGCCGACAGTGTGTCATACTGAACATGTACACCTTATGCATGGATGGCATGATTGTACAATCACTTATTGTGGAGGTTGCACAGCTAGCTGTGTGTTAGCTATGATAGTGATGGACAGTGAATCACACCCAGGTATAATTTACCTGCCATAGATGCCCTAAGTTCAAGAGTTACAAGACTTAAAACTGGGATCCCAAGTGTGAATTATCAGTTTAACAAGAGCAACGTTCGCTTTCCACACATGCATTACTGGTTTTAAATATATTTGCTCGGCTATTTCTAAAGAAGTGCTAAACAACAAAAGCCAACAGAAGACCATAAAGAGAGAATGAAAGAAAGAGGCTGAAGCATATTCCAATTAGGCCTGTAGAAACACTAACAGTGAGCTTTGAAGTAACGCCAAAATAAAATCCCTGAAAATACCTTGCCAGTGTTATGCAATACAGGTACTTACTTCTGTAAAAACTCCACCAGCGCAGGTTTAAAGTACAACCCCTTGGGTGTTGCTCCAGAGTCTGTTTCCTCAAGGCAGCTAGCCAAGTCTGTGATCACTCTTGTAAATCTAAAATAAATACAACACTTTATGAGAATTCATTGTCCAAATCAAAGCCTACCACTCCCCTTGGGTAGAAGAAGCAATGCCAATCAAATCATTAATCAGGGTGGCACTGCAGGACTAAGTCTTGCCCTTTGCTTCACAACATGGATTAGCGTGTCTTTGAAAGCCAGTATTGTACCTGCAGAGGACAAAGTTTAAACTACAACGATTATCTCATGAACTCTGCTGAAAGAGTATGGAAAGGGAAAGAAGTCTCCTAGGAAAAGAACCCAAAAGGCATTGCTTCATCAAGAACATTGCTACATTTTTACTGTTGGTGCTCTATGATCTTTTTACCTGTTCTGTGCTGTTCCTTGTACACTTTTCCTGATGGTGTAGGTGAAATAACATCTGTATATGAATAAATCAACATTGTTTTGGAACATCTCAGGAAAAAAATTAATCTTTCCTTTTAAATCTTGCTTGAGCCTATTTGCATTAGGCATATGGTAGTCTACGGTCATTGATGGGTGTGTGAGGCTTACCACCATGGTATATTTCAGATGAAAACTTTGTTGCTTGGGCTCAAAGATGACCATTTCATCTTTCCTTGACCACATGCATTTTTCAGACTCAATCTCTATAGAAAGCCATAATTCTCATTCCCTGTCATCATCCACACAGATTTCAAGCGTCTAAAGAGAAATAAGGTGGGATAAGTCATATTTCCATTTATCTTTCTTCTGCTTTATCTAGCATTGCTGATCAGATGTAACAAAATTCACATGTGCCACAGGTAAGAGGCTGTACATCAAAACTACTTCTCAAATATCCCTTCTGCTTTCTCTTTTTCAAAATCTGACTTGAAAGTCCTAATTTAGCTCACATTGTGAATAAAAATTTGAGTAAAAAAAATTAATATTTTGCTTATTAAAAATAAAAGAAATTGAACTTATGTCTTCTAGAATATTAGCAAAGGAGAGCATTACACCCTTTTCTTGCAACAATAACCCATCCACAGTAAATTTTCTATTTAACTATCACACAACAGTTGATGCAGTTTTTAAGTTAATAGTGCGATAAACTCAAGAGTGATGCTGCAGATTTTAAATGCCTTCTGGGATAAATAAAACATGCAAGTCAGGGTGGGGAGCAGCTGGATGCATAGGAACAGCTGGTCTCATTGGTCTGAGAACACTTTTTTTAGTTATAAGGGATGTGAATTTTTTGGCTTGCATATCACTTTGTGTTGTCTATGAAAGCAATGCCTTCAATTACCTTCCAAGTCAATAATCCTATCATAATGACATCATCTTTTACTTGCTACTGACATTATGCTCTGCCAAAACACAGTTTAAGAGCCAAACCCCAAACAGCACGTTCATGAGGGATTCCTTAGTATAAAAAAACTGTCATACATCTGAGACACATAGCTTTAATTATGAAGGTATGTTGGCTTGAACAAAGGACTGTTCTGAAGTGAATGGCAAATTTCTTCTTTACTTAATTTGGATGAGGGTTACAGAAACAGGAACTTATATGCATTCACAATAAACCAGCAGAACACCTAACATGCCCTCCCCTCCTTGGTTTACTATCATCAGTCTGCAGCATTTCAACAGTCATGATCAGGCCAGCTTCCAGGACTCAACACAGCTCAGTCCAGATAACACTCAGCTACAAAAGGAAGAGTTCTGCAGTATTTCTTACAACAGGCAGACATCAGGGTATCTCCTGTTACTGAATTTTGTGAAATTCCTTTTTTTTTCTCCAGTATGTTGCTGTATGACATCTGTCCTGTAATGAACACTCTGTAAGAAAACAGATACATGATCTGATGGTATTTTTATAGAATACTGTTCAAATGAATGGAAAATCACAGCATCATGGGGTCCAAAACATACTTTTGTGTATGTTTGCTCTGATATATTTTAAACTTTAAGAGAAAAAAATTCAGTTTATATGGTCTGCATCACTGCATTACAGGAGGAACTATTGTCACACTGTCACATGCAAGTAGTTATCTAATGCATTTGGTAAACAGACATGTTTAATCAAAGGAACATATTTC